AACTTGTTGTAAATGATGCCAGATCGTTGGAGCTTCATATTGTGAATAACGGGTAGGCAGAATTAAATTTTTTTTTTCGAAAATATCAATATTTGTCGACCCGTATGAAGGGCGCCCATAGGACAAACTTTATGGACAAACCATCATTGTTGATGTATATATAAATATAGTTTCACCAATTCCAAATAAAACATTTTGAGCAATCGCCATTGCTTCATGGCAAAATTGTGAATGTATTTGCATATTCTTTTGTGAAAGACAGCGACACTGAAAAACATATTTTAGTCACAGTTTATCAATGGCAAAAATAGACTTAAAATCTTAAATAGTCAATATATAAAACATTGACACCAAAAATGGTTCTTTAATACTCCTTACTATTTGTATATTTATTACATACATACAACATATCATATATTATTTTATAGTTCCATGGAATCACATCAAGATTAAAATGTGTTAGAAGCTAGAGAAGAATAATTGCAACTTAGTATATTCGCAGGCAATATAACATAATTGATATTCTAATGCTTTATGTAAATGTAGTTGATAATCAAACTTTCTAAAACCTTCAATTGTATGAATGCTTCAAACTATCTTTAATATTTGATGTTAAGAAATATTTCTTTCTGTTGAGTCCTAGACCTTTTGTTTTTAATTCAAGCAATCAAACTGCCAAATTACTGTAATTATTAACAGCATAGGTCATTGATAATCAGCTGAATTTTAGAACTGCTTTGGAAAACCCTATTTTGTAATGAGACACATTGCTTCTTGCATTATTGTATATTGTAAGGTCAATGGGATAAACTGCTTGATGCACAGTAGATTTTATAATCTTAAATATAGTTGCACTCACTATTGTATAAATAATTCTATTGTTATAATAAAGTATTACTTTTGACTTTGTGTAATAGTGTTTTCTAATTCTTTGACTCATCAGATGCACAATAATTAAACTTTTCTAAAAAACTAAAATAAATTTGCCAGTACTCTCAGGAATTGAAAACATGATAAACTCTCAATTTTTGCCTTTTGAGTTTAGTGGTTACTGTAAATATCATTAAAAAATGTCCAATTTAAAAAAAAAATTTGGAGACCTGAAGAAGTTTTGGTGCCAATTGAAATTAAAAATTTGAATTAAACTCAGAAAATTTCATAGCAATGGGTAAAGTCATTCCTGATGCAAAAAGTATAAGAAGTAATAGTGAAGGGTCAATTGTGACAGAATCAAAAATCAAAAGAAAACTTCCCAGGACATTTCATCAGTAAGCAATTTATTTTTAGTTTTTTACAGTATACTATTATATTGATTGAAATTAGACCTGCATTAACATGATAAACATCCCTAAGGATGAAGTACTATGAAAACAGTTGATACAAAATGTTCATCAAGAAAAGTGGTCACCCAAAAAGCAGATGTTTATATGTTCTGACCACTTTTGTTCTGGTTGCATTGTCCATACTGTTCTGTTCTCAAAAAGCAGACACTTATATGCTCTGACCACTTCTGTTCTGGCTTCATTGTTCATTGTCCATATGTTCTGGCTTCATTGTCCATACACAATCTTTTTACTGAGCTAGATCACCATATTTTTCACTCACCAGTTGGTGAAAATCATGTTATATATTTCAGTTGACCAAGAGCATCATCAAGAGTTTATACTGTGAGGTTAAATTTTACCATCTTGGAAAAAAGACCACTGAGAATTCATCTGGACAAAAAATTAGAAAGAAATTAAATAAACTTGTACCTTTTACTGTAAGCACCAGTGTGAGTGATTACACAGAATGTATCAGAGAAAGCTAAATATTACTAAAATTTACTATGAAACTGCCCAAGCTGAAAGTGCAGACTCTGCCTCAAACATAATTTTACTAAAGATTTATAGTGATAACTGCCCAAGCTGAAAGTGCAAACTCTGTCTCAAACGTTTCACTAAAGATTTAGAGTGAAAACTACCCAAGCTGAAAGTGCAGACTCAGACTGTCTCAAACATTTCACTAAAGATTTACAGTGAAAACTGCCCAAACTGAAAGTGCAGACTCTGTTTTTTTACAGTATAAACTGCCTACGCCGATAGTCGAAACGTTACTTACCAACTTCCATTTCCATAAAGTGGTGCCAGAAACCGTAAGTACATGTACTGATTAGACGATACTTCACCAGAGAATCACTCACAGATTCAAAACAAGTATATAAAGCCAATGTCGTAATTCGAAATTTTTAGCTTTAAAATGCGATTCAAAGACAACAACATCGCCAATTAATGTTTTTTTCTTGTACCCTTTTCCAAAAAAGCTGCGATTTCAAGGCGAACGTACCTCAAAAAGGTATTTTTAATCCAGAAATGCAAAAAAGCCTCGAAAAGTATAGTATTTTCTATAGTATTTCATTGATGAGTGGGAACGACCAATATGGCCGCCGCCTATTTTCATGGGGGAAACCGCTGAGATTTTTGGCTTCAGTTTTGTATTCCGAGATGCGCTATCTAGTGTATATGAGATATCTATGGCCTGCGCGCAATCTCATGACATCGTTTGTAAGTTATCTAAAGTGACTAAAATTAGATTACCGCGTTGCTATGCGACGGGACGCTCACGTCACCTGTTACACGGCGGATTGCACCTGAATAATTAATACTTTCAAACATCTTGTTACATATCCTTTAACTAGCGTTATTAAATTTTTTTAACACGCCATTTATTTATTTTTTAAAGCATGAGTTCAAATAAGATTTAGTTGCATATTATTTGCACTGACAAAGATTTGACCATACGGATGAGATGGAAAACTTTGTAGATAAACGTAAGATTTTCCAGAAAACAAAACATCTCTATTTATCGCCATGCAAATATACAGGGAACTTATTAACTTTATTAAAGTACTTCTAATAAATTAGCATTTGCATCAGATGCCAACAATCATAATTTTAAGGATGGACTTCACATTCTACATAAAAGACATTTTATGACCTGAAGAAAATATTTATGTAATTGGCTTCTGAAAAATAAAATAAAATAAACACCGAAGAAAAGTAAATCTCAAGTTTGATAGAAGACTCTCGATTTAACTCCTATCTTGAATTTTGCAAGATCGTCTTTCTGTGTTAAATTATTTTTTAAATTGATGCGGGTTTATGGTTTGTGGTTTCTGGTTAAACCACAGCTGAAAACGGAAGTAAAATGACCGTTATGTTTACATTAACAACCGTTACTATTGGGAATCGTCGTATAAAACTCTGAGGTTTCCCAGGAGACAGTACAGAGATAACAAACACAAGGAGGAAGCATATATAAAGTTCTCATTTCACGCTCAACACGAGTTTTGCTAAAACATCTTCACTCTGTAAAAATGTCGTACCTAGAGACATCGCACTACCTGAAGAACTCCACATTTGATCCTCCTCCATTCCTGAGTACGAATGATCAATACAAGACAACGTATATCAATGATTACAGTCGGTTTGGACCTCAACTTAACTCCTCGGCTAACCCAGCTCCGCCGTTCCTGACCGGATCTTCAAGTGGGTTTCCTGTTGGCACTGCCTTACATGCCACAACTCCTATAACCTCTCTACCAACTTCAAGTTTTGTGCACAAAAATTCCATGTATACTCCTAACCAATGGAGGACATCGAACACACATAACGTTAGCAACGGTGAGAGGGAACGAGCGACAGCAGAACGGCTACGAGACGAATGCGCACGACTTCGTACAGAAACTGCTATCAAAACCAACCGTACTCAACTTGATGTGAACAACAAGTTAGATGGCAGAATAACGGATGTCGACTTCTGGAAACAAGAGTTAAATCGTGAACATCGTGAAATAGTTGAAGAAATTAAAATGTTACAACAGTTTATAGGTCGCTTAGAGAGAGCCCTCGCTGCCACTGAACAACCCCTCAATGTGGCAAGACAGAATCTGGACTACAGAACACGACGCGTGAAAATTGATCTGGTGTTTGATAATGTTGAAGAAATATTAAATAAGGTACGAAATACCAATATTTCGGAGTTTACTCCATCATCAGTTTACAAAAACTACACAAATTTTACACTCTAGCTTTCTCTGATTCTATACACAGCTTGCATGTAACCCTTTTTTCATGTTATCCATTTTTGAGACTTGTTACATTTTTTGTGTTCACTTAAAGATATGTAATTTTTAACTATATCATTTCTTTTTAATCACAGGAAATGAAAACTATTGAAGATTTTCAAGCACTTTTCAAAAAAACGTTGGAACAAGCAATGAATATGCTCTGGTATGATTGAAATTGTTTAATTTAGAATATTTTAACTTGCCGCGGTATGTGTGGTTGCCATAGAAATATCCCCAAACAGAAATTTATAGTTTACCGTGAGTCAGGGTAAACTATCCCTGAGCGATCTTCGAAAGCAATTGCATCATTTGCATGCAATGTTTGCACGAATGTCTCCGTGTTTTCCCACTCTTCGATACATTGTTCAGGAAACAAAATTTGTTTCCCAGGAAGAAAAAATGTCTTCCGACAAACCCAGCAGTTGTATACTTTGTTTCCCTATCTTCAGGAAACATGGTTTAGAATGGCAATTTGAGTGGTAGACGTTGGAGATAGTAAACTAGTAAAAGTAGATCGCATCAGGATGCATTGCCACTTAAAGGGTTAATTCCAATCATCGAAAAACACGGACAGGAAAGTGAGGAAACATGTACCCCAGGTATCTAATTGTGGTTCCCTGTTATTAACATACGTGCTTTCTGTTATCAGGACACTACGAAACATTAAGACGATGTTGGAGAATGACATTTCTGGCAAGTTCACAGCGCTGTCCATAGATACTCACTCTCGCAGTTTAAACAATCATTCCAAAGGATTGTATTATGCACCACATGCTGTCTGTATTCAGGCCAAGTAAGTTTATATGCATATCTTAAATTGCATTGGATTTAAAGTCATAACAGATTGTTCATGTATGACCACATGACCATCGGTATTATATAATTGCGCAATGTAAAATGTGTATTAAAAAGTGCGTATAGAACTGAAGTGAAGAAACCCAGAGTAGCATTGCTTGCATGTGTACATCCCACGACTAGTTATGTGGACCCTGTATGATAGAGTCAGGATCCTGCAAGAGTTACTGTGGTAGATTCTCCTATCCTATACCCAGAAAGGTCAGAAGAACGAAGATACGTACTGTATTTTTCGTTTGCCGCATGAAGAGGAAACACTCTTTCGTTTGAGCACAATTAACTAACAACCACTTTATGAAAAATAACATCTTCACAAGTGGGTTTGATAAGGTACTTTAAAACTGTCTAACTACACCGCAGTCCTGAACAACAGTGGGATCCTGGATCCTGAGGAAAATTTCCCTTGCCAGCCAGATTGAGGCACGTTTTCAATTTTCATCAAACACTCTACCTCCATGATCAATAACGTAACTTTCGTTTTGTTTGTAGTTCCTCTACTGTTGATGGATGGGAAGCTTTCTCTACCAACAATATTGCAAAAGCTGAACGTGAACGCAAGGCATCTGTAGCATTACGAAGTGAAATCAACAGCATCTTAATGCAAAGTTTTGCTGACCTACGTGGCTTGTATGAGAATGTTAATAATATATTTGATAGACGTATTGAAGAAACAATGGAAGCCAAGAGAAAGCTTGAACGAGAACTAGCACGGGTAAGCGAGATTATCCAATCAATTACCACTTGGTCAATTATACCGTACTATCATTTCGAGTTTTAATATAATAGAATAAAATAGAATGAAATGCTACGATAATGTGAATCCATGCACATTTAACGTTATCTGCATCGCTTTCCTTAAAGTTATGAAAAAGATAACTCATAATCGTACCAAAATTGGTCGTTTATTTGTAAGACGATAACATGTTGTAACAGGTCTACTAAGCCATCTATGCCTTGTACTTGTAGCGAGTTTTCAACAAATAACTAGCTGATATCATGGCTTGTTGAAACAATCTTGAAGCAAGTTTGCTTTCGAACTGTGAAAACCATCGAGTTTCGCCGTGCTTTTACGTTTTCACTTTTTTTATACACTCACAATTTTTGCTGCGATTTCTAAACGATTTTCGTCTTCTGATACATGTGAACGAGTAGATGAGATATGAATTTTCTGAGTATATGCAACTCATCCACTCGTTCACATACATCAGAAGAAGAAAATCGCACTGGAAATCGCAGCGAAAATTGCAAGTATAAACGGCCTTTAGAGTTTAGTGTTACCTTGACCTTGTTTCATCTCTTGCTTATAAAAACGACCTCTCAGTCTCTTGAAAGTTTAATTCTCATTAATGTCTTTATTCAATTTTCAGGTAATTGATGAAATGAATGCGATGCAAAACAACATTGATAACCTTAGAATGGCGATCGCAGAGAAAGAAAATCCTCTTAAGCTTGCTCATACACGTTTGGACAAACGTTCACGACGACCTGGCATTGAGTTATGTGCTGATGCGCCTCAGTATCGTCTTGTTTCTGAAGTAGGTGAGATAAATGCATCGGTTGATCGTCTGAGACAACGTATGGCTGAATCACAACGACAACTGGAGAATCTAGCTCAACAGAAAGCCAGTTTGGAAGATGATATCAACACAAAAACCAACACCATATTCCTAGATCGTGATCAATGTATGACCGTCAGAAAGCAAGTTCGACACATTCAACACTGAATAGACACATTGGACACTGAACTGTCAATATATTATATACATGGGCATTTTTTTATTGAGTTGAAAGCCTATTTAACCACAGTATTAGCTATAGATATTTAACACTGACGTCCTTTTGATGCATGTCGGGATTTTTAATGATTAAAAAAGTTAACAACCGGTATATTAAATTCTTTCGTCACTGAACTGTCAACATATACTGTATAGAGATTTCCTATTGATCTAAAAGTGTTTATAACAGTAACAATAATGAACTTGTATAACACGGTAATGACACCGTATATAATAAATATATCGTTTAATATATTGTTTGTATATATATTAAAATATTGTATTATTAAATTTTCTTTTTATTATATATCTAAGTTCAAATCATATATGGTTCAAATAGTCATGAGCTTCACTGATGGAAATTTGTATATCAACACTTTAGAAAAACATGCATATAGTGCTAGATTAATACACCTGACAAATCCCGTTCCAGCAACGGGGTATTCTCTTTTTGGCAGAACAGAACAGAACAGAACAGAACAGAACAGAACAGAACAGAACAGAACAGAACAGGAGGTGACCCTATTTTTTCGGTTTTTATATTATAGTTCTTGTTTATCGAAGACAAAAAATATAGGGAAGCTTGCAGATACACGACAAGTACTTGAAATACATTTTATTAATTTCAATATTCGTGTTGTAAGGGTGATATATATTACGATGTGGCACATCATCGTTGTCCTGATACCAGGAAATATCAATCACATCTCATAGGCCGTTGGCCAAAATTATTTCACTTCGTGGCAACCCCTTGGGGAATAGATTTTCTGTGATTCAATGCGTAGTACCATGGATACTCGACTACCACAAAAAGTTCCCAAGCAAAAAACTTGCCAAACACCGAGAAAATGGGTGATCAGTGATTATCCCCTATGAAATTGTATTATAGCAAGAAAATGTAAACTTTTGTATTCAATTACAACAAAAATTACTTGCATCATCAGAAAGCTTACAAAAAACTGCATATAAGACATTCAAACAGTTTTTTGATCCTTCAAATGAGTTATTGCTGTTTAATTTAAATGTGAAAATTGGACCAAAATGTCGCAATAAGGACTGGGTACTAGGTCAAAAACGCGTTTTTGACAGCGTATAACTCGAAAACAATTTGAGATATAAAAAAACTGTTTAAATGACTTATATCCAGTTTTTTGTAAGCTTTCCGATGATGCTATTCATTTTTGTTGTAACTGAATACAAAATTTCACATTTTTTGCTGTAATCAATTTAATAGAGGATAATCACTGATCACCCATTTTCTCGGTGTTTGGCAAGTTTTTTGCTTGGGAACTTTTTGTGGTGATTGAGCATCTATGGTACTGTGCATGCATTGAACCACAGAAAATCTATTCCCCAGGGGGGTGCCACGAAATTGCTTTTCCAAGCACTTTTTCGCTCAACGGCCCACGGCCTATCAAGGAACCACAAAACATCAAACAAACCTTGATGTCAGTGACCTTGCGAAACGAAGGAATCATAGTGTCGATCTTGAGAGGTACGTGGTTGGGTGCACTCTCAGGGTTTGGACGTATGGAATCCATTGATATCAATGATGAGATCCCATAAACTCGTGTAATGATTTACTGTTATTGACATGACGTCTTTTGGCTACTGGCTCCCTTTGTCTAGCAACGTACCTCATTAATTCTACCTTGACTTCTTAACTGCTATTATGTACGTATTCTTCCCAATCAGCAATCTTTTCAGACAATCTGACATATCTCCTCTTAGACTTAGTACCTGATCATAATGAGAGGTCATGAGAGAATTAATGAAAGGGCAGAAGGGCCAAACGAAAGAGATAGAGAAGAATCTGAGAATGCCATTTCCGTCGATCTAAAAACTCGAAATTTTCTAGTTCAGCACTTGTTCAGCACTAACCATGGTGATGCCTCGTCGGAATGAATGGGGCAAGATTGAAAGTCACCGCCACTTTAATAGGCATCTCATGCACAGGTCATATGTAACGAGCCGAGTCAATAGTTCACACGACTTGAGGTTAAAAACTCTATTTCCCTTTCTCTAATCTAATGAGGGTGCATTTTTGGGACGTATACCTATAGGAAAGGTAGCGTCCACCGCTTTTCTAATTAACGCCAAATATATTGGCTATACAGTATATACCTTATATATGTGTTTTTCAATAGCCGAATTCATATTAGGGACGGGAAACTCGTCTGTCAAAACTCGTCTGAATACGGATAAATTCGAATTTAAGACGAATTTCCCGTCTAGATGGGATTCCCGTCTAACTTTCCCGTCTGTTTGGACAGGTAAGTTAGACGGGAAAGTTCGGACGGGAAACTCGTCTGCCCCCGGATTCATATTAGACGAGTTTCCCGTCTAAGACGAGCAAGGGTGGGTTGACTACAAAATTTTTGTAGTTCGCTATAACTACAGCTACTTCAAAAATATGTAGTCAGCTACAACTACTGCTACTTTTGAACAAAGGTAGTTCGCTACTGACTATAGCTACTGCTTAAAAAATGTAGCGAACTATTTCGCTATTTCGCTACGCCTACGCTATATTTTTTAGTTTTACTGTATTTGGAGCATCTATACTAACTCAGACTGTAATGTAACCTATAACAAATAGACTTACGAGTAGCAACAGTAAACACAAAGCAACATTTTTGTAATCACTACAGTGCTCAGGAGTGCAAATTGACTATTGAGTATCGATTTTAAGCAAACCGTATCTCAATATCATGCTATTCTATCAAGTTGTTAACAATTTTTAAAAGTAGCGAATAGCGATTTGCTGTTTGAAAAGTAGTCAACTACTTGGCTACTTTTATAACTACAGCTACTGCTTTAAAAATGTAGTCAAAAACTACTGGCTACTTGAAAATTGTAGTTCGCTACAGTAGCGAACTACAACTCAGTACTTCGCTACTACCCACTCTTGAAGACGAGTTTCCCGTCTCTAATATGAATTCGGCTAATAACAGTTACGCATGCGACAGTATAAAACTGGCTTTAAAAAGTTTAGATATTCCAGTTCAACCGATGACATCCCTGTGTAGAGAGACTAAGACTAGTAGACTATATTTACACTATATTGGATAGCTTTCCGTAGCGCGGCGCAAAAAAGCACCTATATCCGATATGGAATGTACGAATTTCAGAAGAGATGAAAGAAACAACATCTCTCTGTCGCAATAATTGAATGTGACTAATTTATTCATTGGGCATTTCAAATACTGCCAAAACATAATTCATAAAAGTTATTAGAGCATACTGAGCATTTATAAGAGTACGTATATGAATAATTTTTGCATGTTAAATTTAATAGTCTGGACTTTAGTCATTGTGCAATCAATTTCCTAGTTGCGCAATGCTTGCAATCGCGTACTAGTTTACCAGATATGGTGAAAAGTCCTTGAAACTACATCTAGTGTTTCATTGCCTAGCAGGACATTCACAAATTGTGCTAGGGCTATACACATAGTGTCATATTGTATTGCACAATCATGCATGCACTTGTATATTAGATACACAGTATGCCGTCTAGACCACTGTGTAATACTGACTGCTGCTTATTTGTTTTTTGGTAATAGCAGGGGTGCCATGGAAATTATAGGAGTATAAATATATTAAACAAAACTAGTGCATTATTCACTGCATTCCCAAAAATGAACTTATTATCTGGCCGGGTTCTTTATCTACCGAGGTTATTCCATTTTAGTTTATTTACTTATTTCCGCTGACCTGTAAGAAATGATATTTATTTCCAGAATTGGGGCACACAAATTGCAAAACATGTATATGAATGACGGTAACTGATTGCATTTCATCAAATAGAACATTCGTCTCCGGGCTAGAGCAGTAGAGTACTTTTTCATTATTATTGCACATATTTTACATGGTATACCAAAAGTGATCTTCATCTGCCGCATTGGTACGATGTTACGAAATAACTAACAAGCCATAATATACGAGTATTGCCGGAGGGTTGCAGTGAAAGCGCAACATAAACTAGATGTTCTCGCCTGGCTTCGCAAGCCAGTTCATATTTCATGACTCATGCAAGATCGACTCGTGAGTTGAGGTACTAATGATCTATAAATGCAATCAGTACTGATACTCAGTGTTACAGTAGATTTCACGGTCCTTAATAGTAATATCCCTTAAGCTACGTTTACACGCTGCGATCAATCGTGTACGATTCGTTTTCTGGCGTATGTCATTGAGTAAACACGCGTAAGCTGGCTACATTTGAAATCTCTTTTAACGAAACGGCAATGAATTATGGCGCCAGCACTCATTTTAATACGCCAGAATACGAATCGTACACGATTAATCGTAGCGTGTAAACGTAGCTTTAGACTTAGTGCTGTCAGGTTGGCGGTCTTATACCAAAGTTACTGAGTGCATGGGATTTCCTGTTCCATCAGTCTCCTTCAAAAATCGAAAGGACCAACACGAAAGTGTGTATGTGTGCCCAAGCTTAAAGTAGCTCACCATTTTATAAAAATATTACATCCCAGTAATATAGTTCCTATCTTAATATGTATATATAGTATGATTATAACTGCGATACAAAAAGATATCGAAAAGAGCAACGACCAACGTTTTCCTTAAAGCATTCGTAGGACAACTTTGCAAGGGTATAAACTGAAGAAGAGCAGAATCATTGCACGGCCTTTCGGATGATCAGATCTTTTAGCATGGGTGATGGGTCAACATGCATGGGCACTCTGATTGAAGTGCGTAACTAGTAGCATCCATGCATGCATTCCAACCGTATTGTGTCACACACATACACCGAGTAAGGTAGAAAATAGGGTTTACTGGCTTCCACAGTTTCCACATCGTAAAGGTAGTTGGATTCCAACCTTTGGGAGTTGGGAAATCAATCATGATGGACCGAACCCTCGTCTCTGATCGATGGATCTCCTTTACTGCCGATCTCATAGACTCGGTGGTGCAGACAAACTAAGGCTATTTGTAATCAGGTTGCTGCTAAGATTACAAAGTTGTAACTTGTGTACATTAGATATAATGTACAAGATATTTTTGGGCCATATATTCTCATGCCGTACCGTAAATCCTCTATTATATTAATCCCCCGCAGATTTATTTATTTCCGGCATTAATTAATTAAGGGGATGACCACTATGAAAATTTGATATAATATTTCAAATGTGAAATTGTGTGTAGAATTGGAACAGTTCATATGTGAAAATGCCATTTCACCGATCTGAAATTCAGAATCACATAGAAATTCAGGCCCGTAAGTTGCGTAACTAGTTACATATGAGTCAGCTGAGTCGGTAAG